TCTTTCAAAGTGGCATCCTCGCCAACTCTTCCCTCCTTCTCCACCACCCATGACCACCCCCACTCCACACCTTCGGCCCAAAACTGGAACCTGGGGTCCACGATCAATCCACGGGACTCGGATTTCGACGACGGCACATCCCACAGTTTGCGGTACCACCACCCCCCTGCGTCGCCCCAGAAACCCCTGCTCCTACCTTCGCACCCCCAAGAAGAGGCTCAGCATCGTTCGTCGGAGTGGCACACAGCACAGTCATCGGCCAACTGGCCACCGCAGAAGCGTCGCTCAATCGTTCATGAGGTCGGATGCCCGTAAGTACTCGCCTACCCCCATGAGCCTCACCAGCAATAGATCAACTAACTCGACGAAGCACCGCCGACTGTCTTTCAAACCCGTACTTCCACTGTGGATGGGAGCGAGCCCGTCTACCTCGAAGTACGTAACCGCGGCATGCCCCTCGATCAGTCGACGCCCGGCTTGGGCGAAAGCTTCTTGGAGGGCTCCTTCCAAAATGTCGGTGCCAAGCTCAAGGCGTGCAACGACACGCTTGGCGACGTTCAGCAGCTGGGCATCGAACACATTGTCTCACTCCCGAGCCTCATCATGGTGGGAGACCAGTCGGCCGGGAAGTCCATGTTGATGTCCAGCGTCGCGGGCCTGCCCCTTCCTCGGAGCGATGGCGTCTGCACGAGGTGCCCAATTCACATCCGTGCCTCCAGAAACAACGAGTGGTCGTGCCGTGTTAGTCTGCAACTAGATTACGACTATTGCCCACCTCCATTCGGGCAGCCCATTACGAAGGATGACGTTACCGCTGAGAACCCTTTCCCGCCTTGGGTCCGACGACAAAATCGTGAGGTCAAGGAGTTCATGACCATCTACTCACGGAACAAAAGCGAGATCGAAACTGTTCTCCGTTGGGCCCAGGTGGCGGTCCTGAACTATGCCCAGAACTCGGATTTGTTCATTCCTGGCTCAGGCGCCATCGCGAGGACTAGGGAACTTGCCGTCGAAGCCGAGAATACCATTGCCAAATTCAGCCCCAACACTGTGGCACTCGAGATCAAGGGCCCTGACCTGCCCGATCTCTCGTTTTATGATCTGCCCGGCATCTTCCGCAATTCTGGATATGAGGAAGACGAGTATCTTGTTCAAGTTGTCGAAAACCTGGCGGTTCAGCACATTTCGGAAAACGACGCTCTCATCATCTGGGCGGTCCCCGTGAATGCCGGTCCGGGAAACGTCGTCTACTTTGTCCATCATTCGCAAAGTTGGCGCGCTGAAGCGCACCTTCGCCGGCATGACCCAGGCTGATCTGTTGCCTATTGCTTTTATTTTTT